AAAAAAAAAAAAAAAAAAAAAAAAAAAAAAAAAAAAAAAAAAAAGTGACTAACAATGGTTCCTCACCTTCTCGTGGTGTTGGCCGTTTTTACTAAGTGGGAACCGTCCATAAGATATAGTCTATTTCTTGCCCTGCCATTATTATTCTACAAGTTAATTGTGGAGTGAGAATTTCATAATGTTTTCTATGAAATCTTCAAAATATAGTGATAAAAAATTTGCAACTACTACAAAATCGGCTCGCGAAGCGAGCCGAATGTCACTCGCGTAGCGAGTGACCGGGTGTCCAGGGGGCTTAGCCCCCGGCTAGGCGTGACGGGCGCGCGAAGCGCGCCCAGAACGGCTAGTATAATTATAAAAGCACCGGCTGCCACTTGATGCCTCTCCATCTTAACCAAGAGGTCAACTGATGCACTTTGAGCGGTAAAAATCAGCGGTTCGTGGCTGGAAAATGCGGGAACGATCCGAATAACATCAAAAGCTTTCGATGTTATTCGGTTCGTTCCGCTCATGCGGGAGAAACGCTCGAGCCGTTCGTAGACCCGTTCGCACTTGCCGCACAACTCGAGCAGTCTGTCGTGGCTGCTCATTCGGTTCGTTCGTCAAAAACGTTCTAGTGCGTACCCAGCTCCAGGTTTCTGACATTGAAAGTTTCACTTATATAAGTTAAACATTTTTGCAACACCTCCTTCCTTTAACAGTTGCGCCGTTGAGACAAGGCCTAACCTCTTTAATTTCACAAGATTTCTCCCGGTTTCAGGAGCCCAAAGCATGTTGAGGACGCAAGTCTCGGGCCCTCTCCTTGCCTTAATCCTTAACTCTTAAAATTTTAAAAGCTAAAAATCCCGGACTTTTGAAAAGAAAAAATGAGATAATAAAAGAAAAGAAGAAGAATTATGATATAATGTTGTAAAATGATGCATTATTAATATGAGTTTACTTTTAATGATTTATGTGCGTACAGTATCCATTTTTTTTGTATATTTTGTTCCGGGAAATGTGTGTCAATAAGGAGCTGACGTAAGAATCTTTAATTTACAGGTGGGGGACAATACCTTTCCCAACTTGATTCCTCTGGTCTTAGGACTCTCAGAGGGTGAGATCAAGAGTAGCTGTTGGCCAAACAAGTCCTCATTTTTTGACAACTGCCCATTTGTTTGGAAAGAATACCGATCGAAAGGCTTCATCACTGCCTTCGTTGAAGATGAACCTTCTATTAGTGGTAGGTGCAGTTGGATGTGTTGTTTAAAATTTTAATTTGTGTACCTCTCAAAAGCTGTTGGTTCCCGTCTTCGAATTCCAAGTTTTCTTAACTAAGTGTAGCCTCATCTTTCCTACTTCCTAGGCCCGTAGAAGTGGCTGGATAGCAAAAATATCGCTCAGTTAAAGGACTGAACGGGATACCATAATTTGTCTTCGTGCTGTTAGCTGCGAATTTCATAAACAACCGTCTTTTAACTTTTTTTCCCTCTTAAAACTGGTATTTTCTGTTCACAAATAAAATAAAATTAAACGAATTGAACTGTAATATCGTATAGTTCCTTACATTTAAAAAAGAAACTAGAATATTGAAAGCATCAAATCGAATACAAAATGTGTACCTACACCTAGATACTTACATTTAGGGGGGAAATCGACGAACAAACACAATTGTGTGGTTTTAACCAGTTGCTTCTTCTGATCAAAAAGGATAAAATCAGCAATTTGATCTTTGTTCACTTGATCGTGACAAGTTTTAAGTAACCCAGATAGCACACGGATATTCATAGAATGTTCTATGGATATCCGAGAGGAAAAACAGATATCCAGGTGGCCACACAGCCTATGTTTAGGATATCCGTATTCACAGAATATCCGCAGATATCCTATGGATATTCGATTTTCGATGATTCGGTAACTTCCACGAAACATCCGTATATTCAACGGTCGAAATATCGTTACCAGTTCTAAAAACCCGTGTGCTTCATACACACTTGGAGGTGCCTTCCTGGCCGCTCCCCCCTGGAAGTGCTAGGCGCCCTCTCCTTTGGATCGTTGGGTTTTTACATTACCTACCTTTATTACTCAAACTGATACATTGTTAATTTTGGGTATCATTTCCCCATCATTCCGTGACATGTGAGAATACTTCTGGCAATTTGAAAATTTACAATACTCTAAATATTTTAAAGGGAGATAAACCTGAAGCTCAACCATTTTTAAAAATAACAAATACCTAAGTATAAATTTCTACATTTTTATTCATAACATTAAGCTTAAGCAGCTAGTTACTGAGTGCCTCATTTAATCTGGCAGTTTAATTTTCAATGGGAGAATGGTTCAATAAATGCCTCTGCTAATTTCAGAAAATTTATTTCATGTAACCTAGGGAATTATCTGAACTTTCCAATAGAACCTGCGTGACCGGCTTCTGTGAAAAAATGTGTCGTGCGTTTTTATCCGTAGTACCTAATGAATGCAGGTGATACCAACTTAATAATAAAAAGAAAGGATGATATGATTATTAATCAAGCCATTTAATATTTTCAAACAGGTAAAAATTATAAAATCCGGGTACTGAATTAAGAATATGAAAAACATCACTGAAGTAAGACAATACCTACGGTATGTTGTAGAATTGACCATTTAAAACATGTTTCAAAAACTCTTCGAAAAAGTGTTAATATATTCGTACTAGGAACCCCTAGGAACAGCACAGCAAGTCTCACTAGGGCACCTAAGAGGCGAATGACGCCTTCTCTTCTCCTAACGGTTAAAAATCAAAACTTTTCTCTCTCTGGAGGATGCATGGCGTGGCGTTAAACAGCTGAGTCAGGCCGACGATTTGAAAGACGCGGGCTGCGAGGAAGATTTCGGCGTTGCTGTGGAGCCTAGATGACTAGAAGAGCTACTGACTCATCGAAGACGAGCAAAGAATGAAAATAATGAGCGCGAGTCCGAGACGGACGCTTCGAGGTTTAGATAGAGTCCCTTTATACCCAGAGTTACGACATCTGACTATTGGTTAGGCTGAAAGTGGCCTAAAATAATCCAATTCTGATTGGTTCTCGCTCATGAAGTCACAAATGAGTGCACCAAGAAGGTGGTATCTCGAATGGGAACAAAAATAATGAAATTATAACCAAATTGTGGTTTATCAAGAGTGAATTGTTATTTTCATCGCACCAAAATGAAAATAGATGAAGAAATTATCCACTATTCAATATAATTTTATTTTATTGCAATTTCTTTGGTTAGGTTTTGATCAGTTTTGTTTAGAGTATCTGGATACCGAGAGTGTAGATAGGTGGGAAACTCCAAAAATCCATCAGGCCTTCACCGATGCCTCTGCGAATAAAGTTAGGGCCCAGAAATGCAGCCAACCTCTGCATTTCAATTATCCAGAGCGGTTTACTAATACAATTGTTTCGAACCGTCGTTTATTAAGCACGTGTTTGACTCGGTTTTTGCATACATTTACTCAATTTCGCGGAAGAACGCTCATTTCTGTACATTCTTGGCCATCTTGGTTAGAATTGGAATCTGCAGACTGGCACTGGAATTTTGTGCGTTAGAAGTTGGTTAGAAGGGTGCTTTTTTGGGACCTAAGCCCTCCATGAAGCGATCAGTCCATACTATCGCTATACAGGTACTCTAGTTTTGTTGATGTTGTTTTTGGATGACAGACATCGCAGGACTCCTTATCCTTATCCCTCAATATCGTTCGTTTGGGGTGCACACTTTTGTGACACCATGGCCAGCCCAGGCCAGCTGATAATCGAGATGTCTTAGCTCTGGATATAAAGGGACCCTAGGTTTAGAGACAATTCCACCATATTATACAGATTTCAATCAAATCTGTTTTGACGAGTTTTTAATTTGTGAACGGTTTTGATCGTTCGACGCTAATATTTGATAATTTTTCTTCCTTAAAAACGTCTTTTTCATTGTGACGTTCAGGCATGAATATGCAGATTTTTCATAAGTTTTTATCGGATATTTTTAAAATTCGATGATAGCACCCCCGCCCCCCTCCCCCGTAAACTCCCCCAAGAGGTCGGAGGAGCTCCGAGACCATCCAATTCGTATTCGTGGGGGTCGATTACGTAAGGAGGTATCTTATTCTGGAGAATCTCCGTCAAGTTTGCGACTTGAAAGCAATTTGTGGGGTGGGGGAGGGGGACACTGACCCTTTTTGTTTAAAGTGGTCGTTTTCGGGTGTTGGGTGGTCGAGTGGACCCATTTTAAACTCATAGCGGTCTCAAAAGGTTAACATTTTTTTTACTCCTCAATTTTAATACGACCAATTTCCAATGCGGTCGCGGGAACCCCGAATTTAATGATCATGAATCCTTTTTACGCTCCCCACGAAGACCTGAGGGGGCTTCGGGACAAGGAAATATAGACTCTCTGAGGTCAAATACCTATCGCAGTCTCTTTTTCCAGAAAATCTACGTCAATTTTGAGACCAAGGAAGCACCGTCCCTCTCTTTAAGAGTTCATCAATAGGATAGACCGATTCTGAATTTTCAGGGGTAGGTTAGGTGGGGGTAAGAGCACGCACGGGGTAAAAGTTTGCACCTCACTTTTTTCGCGTGCTTTGTTTGAATTTATGATGGCACCGGGTGTTGATTGTTGGCAACATTGAGTTTCACTTGTTGACGAAGTTTTGTGTGAAGTGGATGTGTTTTGACGGAATTATGAGGCAAGTTCACTTTTCATGCGAAAAAGATCGATTTTTTTTAAGTATTTGTCTGTGTCTTGTATTGTCTGTTGTGAGTAAAATAGTAGATGGAGGAAATCTGACAGGCACTGTATCAAAGTGTTATAGTGTTGGCTTTGAGGTGATTCGATGGACGCCATATTTTGTATCAGAACGGCATGCGATATATCGCATCAATAGGTTCTATTTTTTCAGCTACTCGTCATTTTTCTCCAATTTTGAGATCGCAATTCTGTTGTCAGGAGATTAAAGCACTCACTTACCAATTTCAACAAAGAAATTCAACGTAATAAAGGCGTGGTTTTTTTAGAGAGAAAATATCGCATTCGAGGGCAGTTTCGATATCAGTATCGAATGCGATATTTTCTCTCTGAAGAAACCACGCCTTTATTACGTCGAATATCTTTGTTAAAATTGGTAAGTGAGTGCTTTGGTCTCCTGACAACAGAATTGCGATCTCAAAATTGGAGAAAAATGACGAGTAGCTGAAAACATGGAACCAATTGATGCGATATAAGTATCGTATGCCGTTCTGACACAAAATATGGCGTCCATCGAATCACCTCAATAATCCGTGGTTGTTTTCACACCTTGGGCCTTGGGCTCAAAGTTTTAAATTATGTTGTAAAATGTTTACAAATGGGGCAAGAGTACGCAGCCAAAATGGGGCAAAAGTACGCGCCCAAAAGTGGGGCGTAGTGGGGGAGGGGGGGTATAGGAACTTCAAAATAGAAGATGTAGGCAACTTAGTCTTAATACATAATTTTAATACATTTTTATGTTCCTTTGTTTAGTTTGGGCAATTAAACTGTTTTATTTTCTGTTTAAAAAAAATTTACTTCGAAATTTTTTGGGGAGCTTGTGCGGCGACTGAATTATGGTTTTTTTTCACAGTAAAAGTGGTTAGGCACTATTGGCATCCTTGGAGACCAGTTTCAGTCGTTTTCCGGGATTTAACAGCGATTTGGAGCCCAGGAGATGTTTTTAAAAGAAAAATTTCATCTGCGTACTTTTGCCCCATTAAATGGGGTAAAAGTGCGCATTTTCAAATTTTTTTAAAAAATTCGTCACGGCCATGGATTTTATTTCTAAATTCAGATAACGCAGGGCATTTGTGCGCGAGGGCTTGCCGTAGGTGCCTGACCACTTTTCCCGCCTTATAAGTTGATTCGGTCACGAAAATACGGGAAAAACAAAAAAATGCGTACCTACCTACTCTTACCCCCACCTACTCAGTCAAAATCGTTCGTGCTCTTTAATTTAGATGCAATATTCGATTCACAGTCTAATCGAGCACCTTCGCACTTGTAAGACTAGGACTTCCCGTTAAGCTCCTTGAAGAGAAAGGGGGGCTTCGAGGCTATGAAATTCGGATCACTTATGGTTAATTTCCTATAAAAACACGGGGGGGGGGGGGGGGGGGAGGAGGCTTCGGTGCTATGAAATTCGGATCACAAGGAGTCAATTTCCTATACGTTCTACGGATATCCATAGAATATTCAAAACATAGGCTGTGTGACCTCTTGGATATCCAAAAGTCGCGGATACTGTACGGATATTCACCGCATATTGTGTGGTACCTGGGAACCAGCAATGTCTTGTTTTTCTGAAAATGTCTTATCAGGAATACCAAAATGCCCCTGCAGTAAACGCATATTTATTTTGACCATGTGAAGTCATCAAGATGTCCTAAAAGTAAGTTTTTGGATGATTGTCGCCCCCCCCCCTTCGACCCCATCAGCTCCTTCACGCCCTTCATAACCCCTGTATGTGTTACGAGGGTCATCCAAAAAGTACGTCTACCCCTTTCATATCTTCAGAACCAAAATAGATAAATCAAATCGGTAAAAAGAAGCCTCTTTTTATATCCTCAGATTTTTATTGATACCGAGTAGGTATTTTAAATTTGCACCGCTGATTGCCGAGAAAATCGATTTTTTTACGTGAACAACATCGGTTAGTTCCGTCCACCAAACGACGCGCTGCGCTACCAACTACGCAACCTGAATCGGGTGCGTTCCTTACACAGTTACGGAGGAATAACCCACTACAATGTTTTAAAATTGATGTTTAAACAACCTTACCATATAATTTTTTGACGTAATTTTCGTTCTTATTGGTGCACTTTTCATAGCAAGCCTGAAGTTCCTTAAAGTTCCTTAATGCTGTCCTCACAAAACACACTTTTGGTTGACTTTTGAACCAGCCATCGACTGCTTCCACCACTTGTTGGTCGTTCTCGAACTTGTGTCCCCCTATGTGTTTCTTCAGCGGCGGAAAAAGATACCAGTCATTCGGGGGCAAGGTCTGGAGATTACGGAGGATGAGGTAATACTTCCTATGTAAATTTGTGTGACAAATTTTGGGTTTCCTTCGCGGTGTGAGGCCTGGCATTTATCGTGAAGGAATAGGGGACCAGGAGACAAGTGATCAGATTGCTTGTTTTTTAATGCTGTTCGCAGCGAGCTGAATGTTTCAAAATTCCGCGTTGCATTAATTGTAGACCTTCCCTCTAGACAATGGACGAGAAGTACTCCCCGTGAGTCCCAGAAGACAGTAGGCAAATTAAGTGACACAGCTCTCGGTGCATCTCATACCTATCAGCACGCCGCGCCGTTCAGTGGACGGAATTCGCTGGGAGTTGTTTTCGTAAAAATCGATGTTTTCGGCAAACGGTGCTTCAAATTTGAATATCTGGTGATCAATGGAGAGCTGAGGATATAAGGAAGAAACTCGTTTGTACCGATTTGATTTATCTCTTTTAGTTCTGAAGATATGGAAGGAGTAAACTTAGGATAACCCACGTATTTTTTGGTTTTGTTTCATACCTTTTGTGATTTTTGATGGATTCGAAAGAGACTTCGTCGAACCTCGAGTTAGATTCTACTCGAGGTCTAATTTCTGCAGGAGATAAATTCAAAATCATCCAATAATACCAAGGCCTCGAAAATAATTCGCAAAATTTTAAAAATGTTCATTCCCCCCTCCTTCCCATTTTGTGTGGTATAGAAGGAAATAGAATGTTGAACATCCTATTTCATCTTCTCTTTTCTCAAATCATACATTCAAGTAGACGCAGTCTTTGCATAAACTTAATGATGTAGTGCTGCGCCACACCCAAAAATGCTGTTTTCTATAGTCCATTTTCTGAAAACTGAGAATTTTTATTCGGCATTAAAACTTGCACATGGTGTCCCAAAAGTCCTTACCACCACCACCCCCCCCCCAGTCCGTACCCCCCCCCTGGTAACTTTTGAACGGTTGAAGAGAGAAAAACGAAACTCTGGAAATAATTCTGTCACAAAAGGGACCATCTTTTGTGGGGGTCAAAATTTTTGCCCCTCCCTCAAGGGGACGGAGGGCCCCCAACTTTTTTTCAAATGGCAACCCCTACCTTGTTGTACATCATTCAAAAGAACATTAAAAACTAAGAATTTTGGCGCAAATCGCAGATCTATATCTTAATTTTTGACCGAGTTATGATAGGTCAAAGGTCAAATTTGACCTATTTTCAAAACATCATAACTCCGGTTCAAATTATCAAAGAGAAAAAATAAGACGGGAAAATTTATCAAGTTGTAAGGACTTTTGAGTGTAAATCACAGAAATTACTTCAAACTAATTTTAAGGGGGACCGGGGGGGGGGTTTCGAGCCCCCAAATACGTCAGTTCAAAGGTCATACGATTTTCCCGTGAAATGAGCTAATTTCCCTCAACTTAGCTTCAACATTATCTCAGAAAGTTCAAAATTGGTTCAACATTACGTTTCAAAGTCTCTAAATTTCGACATAAGTTTTAAAAAAAACGAAATTTAAACGGTCAAAATTAATCACCTTAAATTTACTTTTTCTTGTAACTTTTTCTGAAAGGGGTTTGAAATCGTAATGTTGAATTTACCGAGGTAATGTTGAGGCAAAGTTAGGGGAAATTTGCTTATTTCGCGGGAAAATCGAATGACCTTTGAATTGACGTATTAGGGGGTCCAAACTCTTCCTTAAAATTAGTTTGAAGTGCTTTCTGCGATTTTTACTTAAAAGCGAACACAATTAAGTAAATTTTCCCGTTTTATTTTTTTCTTTACGATATTTCGAACCGGAGTTATGATATTTTGAAAATAGGTCAAATTAGACCTTGGTCAAATTAGACCTTTGACCTATCATAACTCGATCAAAAATTAAGATATTAATCTGCGGTTTGCGCAACAATTCTTAGTTTTTAAGGTACTTTCCAATGATGTATCTTAAGATAGGAGTTACCATGTGAAAAAAGAAGTTGGGGGCCCCCCCCCCCCCCCGAGGGAGGGGCAAAAATTTTGACCCCCATAAAAGATGGTCCCCTTTAAGATAGAGTCATTCCAAAAGTTTCGTTTTTCTATTTTCAACCGTTCAAAAGTTACCAGGGGGATGCGGACTTTTGGGACACCCTGTATTTGGCAACTATAGCAACGCATCAATCTTGGCTGCGGCTACGCGAATTCCGTGCATCAGCTTATAATTATGATCAAGATAATTGGACGGAATTTTAATACGATTTCATCACAATTTTGCGCTGAAACTGCCAAACCGAAAGTGATGCGGTGATTCAATTTGCACGGTCTTTTACCTTTCACTGGGTGTGATACAAGGACCCGCTTACTAAAGAGATTACAGATTTAGCACACACCGAAAAAAAAGAAAAAAAAGAAAGAAAAAAAAAAATCAAACATCATTTAATGAGTAAATATTGGTTGTAATGATAGTTCGGCATCAGTTTAACATGTGACTGTATGGTCTCGTTGTACGACGCATCACTCGGATTTTACAAATCTGGCTAGAGGAGAAATATTTTAGTGAGAAAGACTTCAATAAATATCGAAAGTCCCTGCAAATATAACAAATTAATCTTTTATCATCTCCTTTATTCTCATATTCAGGATTTAACTATCTGAAAAATGGATTCCAAAAACAGCCAACTGATTACTACTTACGTCCTCTGTATATTGAGAAGCAGAGGGTATGGGGTCATTCTGCAGGTATCGGGTCCAATACAAAGCTTTGCATTGGCTCAGACCTAAATGTGAAGTTTCTCCTTGATCAAATTTTTCAAATCTTGTCCACTGTTCAACGTCCCAAATTTGGATTCTTCTGGGAAACAAGCCTCACCCATGATTATTCATGTTTGCCTCGCTTGGGTGATCAAATTTTCAAGGTAATAGTTTTAAGATTACATTGAAATGATTACTTATGTAAAATTTCCTAGCAGTAAGTTGAAAGTGCCTATTCTAATTTCTAAATAATTTTTTTTTGCGGGTTCAAGATCAAAACACTGAAGCAAACAAAACGGATATACCTGTGCTTTTCCTCTACAAAGCCAGAGCTGATTCATGAAATTTTAATGATTTTTTAGCGGTTACGTACGCAACCCGCAACAATTATCCGAAAACTCTATCAGGAATTTTGAATTTTTACTCTTGGAATTATTTTTGTAAATTTCTGAAGGAAGATCTTACTGTTTCCATATGCGTTTCATGGAATACTAAGTTTGCAAAAGGATACCAAATTTCAGTTTATGAAGTTTCATAATACTTTGAATCTCTGTAACAGACCACTCAATATCCACAAGACGCCATCACCGTTTCAATTTTGGCAGGAAGTTTGAAAAATACCCTAGTAGCAGTGGCTGTTGAGAAAAGTTTTAAAAAACTCGTAAATTTTAAGAGATCTCTTAAAATTTACTTTAAAACCACTTGAAAATTATGTAAAAAAAACTCTTGAAATATTCGTATAAGGAAGCCCTTTTTGGGGCTTTTTTACATGAATTTGAAGAAAAAATTTAAGTAAATTTTAAGTAAATTTTTTACGTAAATTTTAAGTAAATTTAAGTAAAATCTCCGTATTTTTTTTTTGCTTCCTGCGGGCAAAAACGAGGAAAAAAAGTGGTGAATAGAAAAGTATAAAAGGAACAGTTAAAGCCCACAAAAATTGAGGATATACTTTATTGATTTTTACGTAAATTTTACGTTTTCTTTTAATTAAAATAACACTATTTTTTTACTTAAAACAATTCCCCAAAAGGGTTTCCTGAAACGAGTATTTTAAGAGTTTTTTTACTTAAAAATTTACGAACTCTTAAAATTTACAAGTTTTTTACATTTTTTGGACAACTTTTTGGAGAAATTTTTTTTAGAGCCATTGCTACTAGGGACTTGCTGATTTTATTAGATTATACTTTTATTTGTGCGTTCAGACTCCTGGCATACCTAGAGTCCCTTCATACTGAGAGTCAAGACAATGAGAATCCATTTCTGATTGGTTACCGTAATTTAGGCCTCCACTGTGTCATAAACGGGAATAAAGATTTACCTTTTCACCGCAATTGCAAAGATTATAATCTGGAATGGACCGAGGCATCACGGGTTCGGCAAGGAACAAACGTAATGAGAGAAGAAACGGAGAAAGGAATTTGAGAATGGGCCGATCAAAGATTACGAAAAACGTTCAATTTGTTTAATCTCTATTCCCGTTTGTGACTCCTTAAGGGGATGTTGTCTTGACTCTTAGTATAAAGGGACTCTAGGCATACCCATGGTCCATGAAAATTTGTTCATGGGAAGCCAGTTCACAAAATTGATTCGCCCTTTTACTGGCCATATAAGGGTGGATTTCGCGATCCGCCCGCGGGTTCGCGGGATATCACGGCCGGTAGCCGCCGCTTTTTCCGTAAAGGACAACGGGTGCGAGGAAGAGTGCGAGTGAGATCCTGTGTGTTCGGCGTCGCGCGCTGGAAGGCAATTGATTAATTTTACGTACGATTTTTGCGAGTTTCGACTCGTGCATCCGTTGCCGAGCGACCTTCTAATTAGACACGTGAAAATCTGGAGCGTCTCTGTTTCGGACGACAGCTCCCCTCCCCCCATACACTTTAACATTTGATCGGTTGCTTTCAGCCAAATGAAATTTTTACACTGTTCTTAGGACGAAAGGAACTGCTTGTGGGCAAATGTCGGATGCGGCGCCCCCAGGCTGCTGCGCGGACCCAAACTCAAAATTTTCGAATGACAATTTTAAGAAAACAAGGAGAAAATTTTTGAGCTAAAATGGCAGTCTTTACAATATTCTTCGCAGAGATTTTTGCGACCAAAATTTAAAATAGCCCTGTTTTCAAAAAATTGTGTGCGCTGATTACAAAATCCTAAGGAATTAAACTTGGGATTACAATGTTCAACATTCCAGACTTTCGAGAAAAATTGCGAATTTGGACATTGAAGGTCGCAGACCAGCCTCTCCGGCTACTCAGCGGGCAGCCCCCCCCCCCCCCCCCCCTCACGTATCATTAGAATCACAAGTTTGGTTCCCTAGGATTTTTCAATCTGCGCACACGATTTTCTGAAAACAGACATATTCTAAACACTGATAGCAAATATCTCGGCAAAAAATATCGCACACCTCCACCTACGTCGTTTTTTATCCTCTTCTTGAATTGCCATCAGAAAAGGGGAACACACTTTATGGGCATTTTTTAATCTATCAGTTTTATCTAATTGTTGTATTCAAAACCCTCATGAAATGTTCTCAGTGTGTACCTATTTGAAAAAGTAGGTATATCTATCAGTATTTATTATTTATTTGCTGACAGGACTTTTTCGATAAGCTGAGCAATGCAGGGCTATTGCAGGACAATTTTATAATTTTACTCTCTGACCATGGTTTGCGGTGGGGTGATATCCGAAATACTTATCAAGGACGCATTGAGGAGCGTATGCCATTTCTCTTTCTCCTTCCTCCGCCATGGTTCAAGAATGAATTTCCGCTCGCGTACCAAAACTTGAAGCGAAATTCTAATAAGCTCACAACGCCGTATGATGTTCATGCCACACTCCTGGACTTGCTTGATTTGGAACAGGTCAGTAATTAACGTCGAAAAATTGTAAATATAGGTAAGTAACATTAAAAAAATAGGAGGTTCTAAGAACTCCAAATTATTGGCTCATTTCGCTTCAGCACTTTGCAGAACGATTCGATATTCGATCAATCAATTGATTACACAGCACAACAAATTTCGGGTTTTGGTTTGTCCTTCGAACCAAACCGATTTTTTTCGATTCCTAGGTGCTAAAGAAGCCCGAAAATGGCCGTATTAACTTCAGGAAAATTGTCTGGTCCTTGGGGCGCCGCCATTTTGAATTTTTTAAAATTGACAAAACCCACGATTAGATTTTTGCAAATATCTCCTCCACGATTCATCTCACGAAAAAAAACAAAAAAACCAGCGGAAAGAGCATAAAATTTCCTACCGAAATCATTCTCCTTTGTTTTTTCTCACTAAATTTTTTGGTCGTGAAATTAACGTTTTCTTCAAAAATTAGCTTATAAAAGGCGCATTTATGCTGATTTTAGGAGAGACTTTGCTTCATACCTCCAGCCTCGATTATCTGAGAAAAAAACTGTTATGCTCATTGAAAAGAACGTAAAATTTACTTCTAGATAACACATGTCAATAGTCCCTAAACTTGATTTAATCCTGCGAAACAGCAGTTTATTAGCTCCGCCCTTGAAATGTGATTTTTTCGACCGTTTTCCTTAGAATCACGAAAAAAAGAGAAAATAACCCTAAAAACGTGACCCGAACTGTGTAAAAAGGTGGCAAACTAGTGCTGGGTCCACACTATTTTGAAAACAAAACCTATAATTTTGGGTCTTGTTATAGACCTCGTCAGTAGATCACACTCGGCAGTGAGATCAAAAGCCAAAACGTTCAAAAATTTTCAATCAGAGTCAACAATTTTGAGGTCTAATGAGTACCTACCAGTGCGAAACTTTCCGTCTTGGAATACAAAACTTGTACTTCGAACTTGAGCTTTGATGCCGTCTTGGATTTTGCGAGATTTTCAGTTGGGTTCACATGACGAGTGTGATCTACTGACGAGATCTATAACAAGACCCAAAATTATAGATCTCTCGCTGTGACCTCTACTTAACATTCTAATGCTAATTGCCTGAGCTGAACGCTCTTCCCCTTCAGTTATGTACTGCCGTACTGGTTATTCATTAGAGCTCAAAATTTTTGACTCCGATTGAAAATTTTGGAACTTTTTGGTTTGGTTTTCGAAATAGTGTGGACCCAGCACTAGTTTGCCACCTTTTTACACAGTTCGGGTCACGTCTTTAGGTTTTTTTTCTATTTTTTTCGTGATCCTAAGGAAAATGGTCGAAAAAATCACATTTTAAGGGCGGAGCTAATAAACTGATGTTTCACAGGATTAAATCAAGTTTGGGAACTATTGACATGTGTTTTCTAGAAATAAATTTTACACTCTTTTCAATGAGCATAACAGTTTTTTTCTCAGATAATCGTGGCTGGAGGTATGAAGCAAAGTTTCTCCTAAAATCAGCAAAAATGCGCCTTTTTTAAGCTAATTGTTGAAGAAAACGTTAATTTCACGACCAAAAAATTTAGTGAGAAAAAACAAAAGGAGAATGATTTCGGTAGGAAATTTTATGCTCTTTCCGCTGTTTTTTTTTGTTTTTTTTGGTGAGATGAATCGTTGAGGAGATATTTGCAAAAATCTAATCGTGGGTTTTCTCAATTTTGAAAAATTCAAAATGGCGGTGCCCTGAGGACCAGACAATTTTCCTGAAGTTAATGCGGCCATTTTCGGGCTTCTTTAGCACCTAGGAATCGAAAAAAATTGGTTTGGTTCGAAGGGCAGAACCCATGTTGACCGGTGTTATTTCCGGATTCTAGGGCACTTCTTAAGAATTTTTGAGCAACACATCCCTCTGTAGTACATGGGGTATCGATTTACAAAATTTGACCAAGATACATTTTGAAGCACGGTTCGAGTGAATTTTGTAAATCGCTCTGCCTTTGGCCTTGTCTCGACGGCGCAACTGTTGAGAGAATCAGGTGCAACTGTTACGAGTTTGTTGCACCTAGTTGCACCAACCGAAGTTCCCTGTCTCGACGCACAAGCATGTGTTCCTGGAACTTTTAGGCGGGAATATTTGAACAACATTAATATTTCTAGGTTAAACGATGTCAATTGAGGTAACTGAACTGATAATTATGAACGGGAGGTGAATATTTTGCGTTATTTCGACCAGGTATAAAACAAAAAACAATAGCATAACACAGATATGGATAAAAAGAAAATATATTCGATAAAATTTTATTTTCTTGCTGTAGTGATATGCTACAAACGAAAATATAAAATTAATACTGAAATGTATACAAATATTTCTAAGTAATAACCGCTCCGAAATAAAACACCCGTAATAAACTCCCGCTTCACGTGTAACCAGCGTTTATCAATTCAAAATACGAAGGTAAATAACTGTTGAGGTTCCAGGTTTCTGACCTTGAGAGTTTCTCTTATATAATAAGTGAAACATTTTTGAGATACTTCCTTCCTTCAACAGTTGCGCCAGTTTTCCTCAACAGTTGCGCCGTCGAGACAAGGCCTTTTGATTTGCAATATGAATTTGTACCGTACGTTTGGAGAGTAAAAATCCCAAGTCTCACTCCGAGGCCATAATTTTGATTAAGTGTCCCACCACGAGAATAAATTGTCATGAGCAGCCGTCTCTCTCCATCATCATCCGCTTGTTGGACTCGCACTCGCAGCTCGAAATCCAAACATGGGTTGACGTCAGAGGGCACTTAAGCGCCCTGGGGGGCTGAGTCGTGCAGCGGCCAGGAGGCGTACCTACCCCCTAGTATTCCCTAAGTATTCCTAGAATAATCTGAACATATACCTGCTATAGGGCTACTTACATATGTATTCTATGAATGTCTAAAACATGTCTACGGGTATTCTATGGTTATTAGGTTTTACCCCTGAGAATACTTATTCGTAGAATACCTACTCTAGGGACGTTCCTTTTTTTGTAGCCGGACTAATTTCAACCGACTAACGGGCCTATTGAACATTTTCCACGAGTCCAAAAATCAGATTTCTGTATAGTTGCTAGTAGCGCGAGTTGTATGCGGATAAGCAAAAACTTGTCCAAGTGTTAGCCCTCTCTGACGGTTAACGTACTTAAAGTGAGACCAAAATCATCTTGGGGAGGCGATTTGTTTCGGAGTTACGATTTTCTAAAGTTGGCGCGGCGGGGTCCGCTTCCGTGGGAAAGCGCTCCAAAGCACAGGAGTCCTCACCACCATCACGTGCCCACTTTTCTTTCCGTCATGCTGCTATGTCCGCAACGTTCACGGACTACAGGAGAAAGACTACAGTAACGTGCTGTGGATCGAGGGAGCACGGGTGAAAACAGTGACTGAAGAAGAACAGGAACAAATATGGATCGTGGAAAATATCTACAGGGTGTCTCACGAAAAACGAGCCACCTTGAATATCTGCCGAACGCGTCGGAATTTCGAAAAAAGGTAAAAGACGTGTTCGTTCATAATGAGGGGGACACCTTTTGGCGTATTTGACATTTTCTCAAACCGCGGGAGGGGCGCGGGGCGGGGGGTGCCCCACCCGTAAGTCGAACTTTTCAAATGGCACCCCTACTTTTTTATTTCAGAAATCAATTCTACGCAAAAAAACAAGCCACCTTGTCCAAACCGAATGTAAATCGGACAATTTTCCAGTGATTGACAGAGTTTTAAACATTTTTTTCGTGCTTTTTTCAAAAATTTCCCACGCCCAATGGAATTGCTGTATCAAACCAAACTCTCCGCCAAAAAAATTCTTAAACATTGCACTTTCGATAAAAAATTAAAAAAAAAATCTGCTGCACTCGAAATCTGGAGCACGCGGAGCCCTTCTTTGCGGCATTAAAATTCGTTATACCGAACATTTCCGAGGGGCGCTCATC